AATATATACTTTTTTGGAGGCAATGTGGAATAGTTAGCTCCAAAATGTCTTTAAAACAACCCAACTATATAAGCTTAGTTGTTTCAGCACAAGCAAGGGCTGATTGTCATGCGATGTAGAGGACCATTTTCATTATTTTGGCAAGAACAGGGACAGTTTTGTCCTGACGAGCTGTTAGATGAATAGCAGAATGTGTCACATGAAAAACCACTGATCTTTAACCCAGCTATCTACTTAACCAAGCCTAGAAATGAATAGTGAATGTGGGAAGAGCAAAGGCCAGTTTGCTGTCATTACAAATTAGAGAAACTGTTAATATCTGCAGCCAAATGAACTCTGGGAGTTACAGGTACTAGACAGTAAACTGGTTGAGGGTAGAGACACTTAGGAGAGAAGTTCAGTAACTGTGTATGGTGGGTGTATCTATCATTATTATTGAAGATTGGTACATTTGTATAAAAAGACAAAGTTTTCTAAATATTCTCCTGGTGACTTTGATGAATCCAGTGAATGAACATCAAATATAAGGACCTCTCCTTCAGAATAATCGATTGCTTTTTATCTTTAAATAGAATTGCAAAAACTAAATGAAGAGAAATAATAAATCTCTGCTCAGTGTTTTATCTTTTTTTTTCCCCAGGAGTCGTCTCGGGGACACTGCTTCATGTACAGTTAATATAAACATTTATACTGAACTCCTAGATGTTTGAAAAACAAATACTGTAAAGATCAGTAACATTTTAAAATGATCAGTTATGGGAATTAATGCTTACAGAAAAACACCATTCTTTCTTGCCCTGCGAGTAGAATCACATTGTCTCCCTACAGTCTTGTTAGCTCATACTAACTGAAATGCAAATTCTTTCCAACTAATTGGACCTCGTTGAACGTACATGTACAGTACATAGTTATATGCATGTAGATTTTTTTTACTAAATTCCTCTGTAATTATTTTCTTGATTAATATCTAAAGCAGAGACGTGGAACAAAAATCTCTTTAAAGAGTTTACATATTATTGAACATTAAGGAGATAGTAACTGTTGCATGTTTTAACAGCTTAATTAATAATAGAGAATAATTGGAACAAAAAGAAGAAAATATTTTTTCAATGTTTAGTCATTTTGAACTATTTGCATTAACCCTTTGCCTGAACTAATTAACACTTAAACTGTCAGAGTAATGGAAATTAGAAAAAAGTAGGATACATATACATTATATAGCATATTCTGCTGGCTAGATTTTCTTCTTGGCATCACCTGGATTTTCTGTAATCACCTTTCCTATCCTTTCTTGCCATATGGTGCATTTCTGTACCAGTAGTTTTCAGAGGAGAGATGAAATCAACAAATTATATTTTTAAACGATTCAGAAAGTCATGCATATAATGTAATTGTCTTTGAAAGTAAGTAATAAGTATTATTTAAAAGGAAAAGAATAAAATACCCTTAACACCACATACAGTCCACAAAACATGTAACATTTTCAAAAAACACAAGCAGACAACTGCAACTGCACTCTGTTTTAAGTTCCATTAGAACCTGGATTCTGTAGGCACCTCTTCTATTCAGCATCTGGATATTCCCAGGAGGTGAAAATGTAAAATAATTCCACAGATCCTTTTATCTGCCAGCACAAATGCCATTGGATAGCAGTAAAATACTTGCAGAACATACTCCCTGATTAAAAATCTATTGAAAATGAGATATTTTTTAAATGCTTTTAAAAGGATTTTTTTCAAATTCTTTTAGAGGCCTTACCTTGACTATAGTGTTTCAAATTCTCATATGAGCTAGCCAAAGAGGAGAGAAAATGCTTAGTTTGTGCCAGACTTGTATACTAAAGTTGTCGGGTTTGCTTTTTTTTTTTTTTTTTTCCTCCTCTCCTTCTTTTCTTTCTACCCTCCCTCCTTTCGCCCTTTTCACCCCAATCCCCAAACTCATTGCTGTACAGTTAGGTGAGGCTTAAACTGCTACTTGAGGAGGTTGGCTTCTGTTGTATTTTTCCTGCTTGGTTACTTTTATCTCCTTATTGACTGCTACTTTTCATATCCCTGTTTGAAATTCAGGGATTTCTTGTTTTCTTGAATTCAGTATTTCTTGTTTTGGTTTTTCTGTGCTGGCATTATTTTGCCAAGCAAGATGCAGTAGAGACACTAAATTTAAGGATGACCTGAGCTGGACTGGGTCTGACAGAATAAATTTTGTTTCTTCTCTGTCATGTTAGTGGGGTTGGGGGGGGTGGGGGGAATATATCTTTTTGAAAACGTTCTGAAGCTGGGATGTAGAAGTCACACATTTGACAATTAAATGATAGTCCTCCTTTGATACAGTGATATGAATGAGCTTAGATTTCTTCTAAGGTTGTATCATTCTGGCCAAGATTTCTGCTTGGGAAGACCAGATTTGGATGTATTAGCTAGTCAGCCTAATAACCCTGTACAGACTGTATTGATTTTCTAGGAGAGAGTTTATGAACTAAATAAACTTGGAGTTGGTGTCTTAATAAACTGCTTCTCTCAGTCTGTCACATTTCGTTACTTAGCTCTGCAGTTTAGGGGAAAAAAAGGCTAATTCTGTTACAGATTGTTCACAGCAGGGTCTCCAAATTAGCCCTTTGTTTTGTAATGCCACCTTGCTTGGGCTGGCTTTGAGCACATTTCTCAGTTTTACCCTAATGAGTTGCAACACTGATAATGTG